ATACAAGTTTCTCAAATTAAGCAAGCACCAGCCTTTGGAATTATGGTCGACGAATCTAGTTGTGGTGAAACAAAGAATTTGGTGATATGTTATCAAGCTTGGAATGAAATAAAACAAAACCCTATTGTAGTAATATCACATCTTAAAAACATTCTTAAATGTAATAGTGAAACTGTGTCTAACATCATTATTGAATCGATTCAAAATGAAGGCCTTGATGTTATGAAATGTATAGTGTGGACTACAGATAATACGGCATATATGTCATCTAATAAAAAAGGCGCAGTTTCTCTTTTCAGTAAAAAAACTGGCACAGATACATTTCGAGTTGGCTGTAGGCTCCATATTATGCAAATTGTGTTTGATCATTTTGAGCAAGAGGTATTCAGAATTATTTCAACTGGATTTTCTCGAAATCCACACCCTTATAATCTTTTATACTTAGCATGGAGTTTGCACGATGGATACAATGCAAGTAGTAAAGACAAACCTCTCAACATTAATGCTGAAATAATTAAAAATTTGTATGATAAACTTTTAGGATATCATTATAATCAGTATCAAATGCCACTTCGATCTTGTTGGGGCTATGAATTACGAACTGCAAGGCAGTATCTTGACCGTTACGAGGCTCACAAACAATTTACTCAGTGGTTTATTACACAATTAGAGAATTATCACAAAACTCCCAAATCGTATCTTAGAGATTGGCAACTTTTTAAATCATGGATAACAAATCCAAAATTAAATATCCAGATCAAATATATGGTTAATTTCGCAGAGCACTTTTATGAACCCTTAATACAATTTATGGTCGGTCAAGATCCTATTTTACATATTATACAAAACGATAAATTAATTAAATTACCTCCTGGTAGACGTGCACATGAGATGACAGCAAAAGTTTATGAATGGAAAGAATATCTTGAAAATCTTAAAAATAACTTCGAATTGTTTTTTTCTGACGAATTACTGGAGGCAATAGATTTATTACCAAGTAATGAATTTGAAAAATTGTTTGATGATTTAGAACGTGGAGTTAATAAAACGTATGAATATTTTGAGAAATGGGTGGATTCGTGATTACATTTACCTTTAACAATTTGCCAACTTGGTGGCAATCACGCTCAATCATTTGCTAATAGTTATCGATTTGTAATTCTTAAAAAACCTTGGATTCAATTGCCTACGGAATTGGAGCTAAAATATGCAAATAATTTGGAGGTTGATATTAGTAATGGAAATACGAATGATTTTGGCTTGCATAAGTCATTATTACATGATACTGAATTTTATCAAGAGTTTGAGAATTTCTGCACAACCAAGGATCCCAAATTACATGAATTTTCTAAACTTTATAGTTTCGTCAAAACCCATATTTATTTTATTGTTGTCCACCAGCAGCAAGTCGAGGGAATTTTTAATATGTTGGATTTAAAAACCCATCCAAATATGTCACGACTTTCAAAGGAATCTAAACTTCGTTTAGCCTCAACTCAGATTGAACGTGAAAATTTGAATTCAGGTCTTGAGAAAATACGATCTGAAAGAATACGACAAAAAACTGCTGTATTGCAAGACATTCAGCAAATACAATTCGGTGAAGAAGCTGCATCAAATCTTTTAAATAACTTGTTAAAATAGTATAACTAGTTATTAAATCATAAATAAATATACTGTTTCGGTGCACATAAATAAATTTGCATTATTACATATTGCATTAATTTTTTATATTTTTATATATCGATAATATATAACATACATATATTATAAAAAAAATCTTCAATAATAAATTTTTATATGATACCACATATATTTTTGATCTACATAGCTGACAGCCCACCCCAATGTAACTTGACAAAAAATACAAAATACAAAAGAAAAAAATTTATAGTCTAGCAAAATAATAATGATAAGCAATTTTGTTTATTTCGAATAAACTCGAACTGAAGATTCTGGAAGAAAAAAAAGTTCGTTATATAAAATTACTGTTTTCTTAAATTTGGAGTTCATAATACCCAGAGTTCGTTATAGGAAAGTTCGTTATACCCAGAGTCGACTGTATTACGATTAAGGCTTTTTTTAAGTATTTGGAATATTCCAATTTATGCAATGGCTCCAAGTTTTTATTAATACTATCGAGCCATTTGTTACTATTTGGATTCATTATGTTTTCTTCAATTGTTTTTGTCGCGTTCTGGATTCAGAATTATAAAAACTTTTTGTTCAAATAAATAATCAGAGTTATAGTCTTCCTGAAGAGCATTAAAAATAAAATCTACAAGGCTTTCTGGTGTAATTGCATTTCTTGATTAGCTTTTATAATTTTATTTTGATTTCATTTATTATTAGTTAAAATTTGGTTATGGCAATCGATGTACGTACATTTTTAGAATATTATGTTTATTGAATTTTATGCACCACTTGGTTTGTCATTCTAAAGAATCGAAGAAAAAAAAAATACTTACTAAATCCATTAATATTTTATACGGTATTATTATTGAAACTTTTTTGCCGATTTTCTCAAAACCCGTGATCAGCAAAAATTCCCTGGTTTCTACTTTTAGGGTCCCACATTTCCTTTATCACGTTAGATATGATTTTTATTGTGGAGAAATTCTTAAAGTTGTAGTTCTGTGTTGATTAAAATGCTCCTAAGCAAAAAGATCAAACATTTAATGCTTAATGAAAATATTGGCTTCAAGAGAATACTACCGTTACATCCATACTCGTGCGCTGGTATATTGGCCTCCGAGTTGTTACGTGTCCCAATTCGGCAACGACGTTATTTAGAATTAACAGTTCTCGCTAGGATTATGTTAGTGAAGATTACGTAGTCAACAGCTCTTGCATTTAATTCTAAACGTTTCTTTTATTTTTTTTAATGAATTTATTTACTTAAAGTAACGCAATAGAAGCAATAGAAGTCATTTTAAAAATTTTTAGAATGCTGATGGTATCACGTATCTTTTTGCATAGTTCACCATTCTGCCTTTGTTGAAATAACTTTGACTCAGAGGTATTGCAGAGATATTTTACAAGAATATCACTGAATTCTGTAAATTCTCCTGGTAATTAGAAGGAAGGAAGCATTAGCAGGTACGTTTTGCAAGAACATTACGATACTTTTTTTTTTTTTTTTTTTAGATATTGCTTGTAATAACCTTGAGTCAGAATATTAGTAGGTGCATGTTACTGGAAAACCAGACCGTCTTATTTGAATATTCTTAGTAATAACCTTGAATAAAAGGTAGAAAAAGCATTTACGGGTGCACTTTACGGGAACATCACGTTGAATTCTATAAATCCTTTCAGTAATAACTTGAATCAGAAAGAGGAAATTTTTGCAAGTGTGCCGGTAATAACCTTTGGATCAGAACATTAGTAGGTACATTTTATGGTAGCACCAGACTGTCTTCCTTGAATCTTCCCAGTAATGACCTTAGATTAAAGTCAGGAATAACATTTGCAGATGCACACTTTACAAGAAAATCATACTGAATTCTATGGATCCTTCCGATAATAATTCTGGACTAGAAGGAGAAAGATCTTTCAGGTACGATTTGCAAGAACATCACACTGTTTTCTTTAAATAATGCCGGTGATCAGAAGAAAATATTAGTAGGTGTGCTTTAAAATAATATCATGTTTGTTTTCTATGAATTTTCCAGGTAATATAATCTCGGATCAGAAGGCTACAATAACATTCCAGGCTACACACAATTTACCTAATTGTAACCGAACTGAATTAGATGATGCTTCTTATCTGGTCAGGAGGAACTCAATTGTCGCTACTTATCATTTGATTGGGAAGTTCATAGAACACTTTTTTTATTAACGTTTATACTATACAAATTGTAGGGAAAAACAATAGCAACTTATGAGACTTGGATTATTTTCAGTTTTATTATTAACGATTATTATGTAAAAATTTAAATGATGTCTCGTGTACCTGTTTTGACATAAACAATTTCTCCAAATTTTTTTTCCATTAATTGACCACACTTATCATTGAGCATGAATATGAAAATAATTACATCATACTACGAACTTTTTTTTTTTTCCTAAAATCAATTAACAAAACCAAAAAAAATTACACGCATTATATGGTACAATAAAACTTTAATACAAATATGCAAACAAACGAATTACTAGATAACATCGAATAATATGTGAGCTCAAATAACTACGTATATTTTAAACCATATTTTTTTTTATTGCCCTTTTATGTGATTGGTAAAATTTCTATGTATTGCAAAAAATTTCAAATCACTCGATTTGAATCGTCACATGCGATATACCATATTTCTGCTTTAATATACGGCGAGCAAGTAGTAATATTTCATTAGGAACAAAAGGCTCAGCTTGAACATCCGGGTCATATTTATGAAGTCGAATATGAGCCGTGAGTGTTGTCTAAATATGAAAAAAAAACATTTAATAATCTAGATATACGTATGTTACGTACCGTATATACATTACCCGGTGTGATGCAGTTTATATAAAAATCATGTGCACACTGTATAAATAGTACTTTAAACAATTTGGTCTAATTATTCGTCACACCAGGTATTGTATATGTATGTGGACGGTACAACCTCGGCTATGGTTTGAGCAACAAACGATATTTTAAAACTGACCGACAAAAATGACAGTATGATCATAGTAAGCTACTGGATCATATAATTTACCGGTCAGTCTTTTTGAATCAAGACTCGTTATCATAGAGTATAGATTAAATCAACCATAGTAAAAGGTTACCGAGATTATACCGAGGTTATACTGTTAGAGGTAAAATTATCAAACATACCCGACCAACAGTCAAATCCCAGACTGGAAAAGCAATAATTTAATAAGATAAAATCGGTGGTAATGAAATCCTAATATAACACCACTATGGGAATAAAAGCTTACTATGCAAATCATGAACACTCTCTACACCTTTAATGGCTTCTAAATCTTTTCTTACAGCAAATGAATCAATATGTAATGGCGTTGCTATTGTAAAATAAATCAAAATAATTTATTAAATTTAAAAATTAAGAGTATTTCTTTATAATTTTTATAATTTTGAATTACGAACCTTCCATCAAAACTCTTATACTGCTTCGAAAGACGCCATATGTTGTTATCATTACAAGAGCCGAAAAGACGAAAGTGCATATTGGATCAACCCATACTTTGCTTGGATCGAACATAATTATTATAGCAGAAATCAAAACACCTAACGAAGAGAGGAAATCACCCAAGACATGAAGCAATGCAGCACGGACATTGACATTGTCTCTATCACCACCATGTTCTCCATGACCATGTTCGTGATCATGATTATGATTATGATCATGTTCCCCTAAATGCGCATGCGCGCTGTGATCATGCTCATTTTGATGCTTATGACTATGACCATGACTATGACCATGACTATGACCATGATTGTGCCCTAGAATAAGCATTAGCCTGATTGAAAAATAAAGATTAAAAATTGAAATATAAAATCTTTAAGAGAAAAACGTATTATAAAATACCTACACAATGTTAACAAAAACACCGATAACAGCAACAATGCACATTGTTTTTCCATCTACCTGTACGGGATTTTGTATACGATGGTAGGCTTCGATGCACAAATATAATGTGAGAAGCCATATAAGGAAAATTGAAACAAGAGCACCCAAAATTTCAGCACGATGATAACCATATGAGAGCGCTAAATATGATAATAAGCTGTTAATATAAGGCGAAATCTTAAACGCGATAATACGATAGAAATCTCACCTCTAGTAGCAGGACGTTGTGCAAGATATATTGATAAGAGTGAAATACCAAAGCTCACTACATCTAACATTCGTAATTAATAGATTTTAATGGTGTAATTTTTGTGAATATCGATATAATAATAATAATAATAATTAAGAACTTACCACTCAGTAAATGAAAAGAATCACTCAATAATGCTAAACTCTCGGCAATTATACCACCAACAAGTTCGACGGAAAAGAATAAAAGGGATATTACTATTGCGATCCATAGCTTCTTTACAGGTTGACTCGAAGACCTTTCCATACGACAACCATTATCTTCGTCATTGTCATTACTCCCACACATCACATGTGCATCGTCAGGACCGTTAAAGGAAGTGTATAATAGTGGCGTGCCTGTAACGATCGAGGCTGTGCTAGGGTTATCATGATATGGTTCTATCGAATCTCTATTATTGCTCAAGTTAACTACTGTAGAGTCTGAATAATCATGATAACTATCATCGTGGTCAGCCATTTTTTTTTTATAAAAAACACTTGCGAAAACAAGGACCTTAACACATAAGGTTTACAATAATAAAACTCTTCCCAGCATTACGTACGAAATAATTCGTGTGACGTTTAACAAATTAAATAAAGATAATTGCCATCTTGGTAAAACCTGCTTTTATTGGCAAAAACAAGAGTTAACCGTTAATTGTATCAATTAGTATATAACAAGTAATTAAATCTTTTATCCGTTACCGTTACGTTATCGTTATTGACAAATTTATTTTTGATTAGGCTATTAACGCCCATCGATAGTATACGAACGTAAATAATAGCTACGCACTAGTACATTTCTTGATTCGTATGTACGTATGTACATTACTAGATTTTTAACAGGGTTATCCAGATAGTTTTGCTCATTATGCATTTAAGTTACTAATTATTTCATGTGAATATATTTTAAATTTTACAAGTGATGATTATATTTTTGGAATTTTTGTACGTACGTATCATTTCTTTAGGACGGACGTGTAGAAATCAAGATGAAAAAATTCGTTAACCCCAAGTTACTTTTCCTACTAACCCCAACATGAAGCAAGATAATTTTTGTATGTCCGTCCAATTTGTATTGGTAAAGTACTATACTGAATACCTGTTTCTCTAACATATACGTGTATATACACACGTACGTACCATTTTTTTAATATCTGATATGTATACACGATTTTTCGTATCTTTCACCCTAACTGCTAAGTTTTTT